GTAGTAATCCCTAGGTTTGGAATACTCCCTCAACAACAATAAGCTAGAGCGGGTCAAGTACGAGCGCTACATGTACATGGTATTCATTCCATACTACACATTCAGAACCCCACGGCCGAGATGACCATCCGTGAGTAAACAGCAGGGCAGCTATCAGAAATGTAAGAGAGAGGTGCAAGTTGGTGTTAGCGCCCCCATTTGCTTACAAACCCAGCATATTGTTCCCTCTCACCCCGTCAAAATTCCTATCCTGGGGTGCTTAACTATGGGAATAGTCTTAACCGCACAGGATATCCGAAGAAATCTAACAAAGACTCTGGTGCGTGTGGCCTTGCATCCTTCCAAGTTCCTCACGGAGTGTGCGCTGCATTTCTCGCAATCCACTCACCGATCTACCCGATATCCCAGTTGCACCTGCACGAACGAGAAGCTTACCAATCCACATGAGATTCTCTTTAATTGCTCCTAGCTCAAGGTCCTCCTCAATACTACGCTCCATATCGTCCTCATCCGGCATTTCTGAGCGGTCTCAGAGCCATCTACAGCCACACCTTGGTTGCCAACTCCGCAGAAGTCTTCATCTTCTGCAGTTGTGTTCTCGCCCGGTGGGTTCAAAAACTCGTCAGCGGACATTGGATCCTTAGCGTGCAGGCGATAATGTCGTCGCAAGCACAGCGGATATAGCATCATCTTCGTCTAGTACTTAGTAAAGCTGTTGTAGTAGTCTAAATACTGGTGTCCTTCCAACACCTTGAAGTGAAATAAGCCAATCTTTTCCATTACTGGATGCTGTTTACTGTTCCAAACTAAGGTACTCGGATCCATTTTTTGTGGTTCATTCATGGACAGGAATACCCTTAGACAGGAATGAAATGGCCGCTCCCAGCGCTATGACTGCCGAGGGGATCGTTTGTATGAAGCGATTACTACCTATTGCCCTTGTGAGAGAGAAGGACAACCCAGCTGCCAGCCGATTTTGCGATCGGGTGGCCCATCGTGTTTGGAAGGAGTAATCTTTGATTGCGTTACCGAATGCATCTCATCATTCATTTGTTCTTTTTACTGTTCGATTGAACAAAAAATACAATCATAGTGTTACTTACCCCACGATATACCTCTTTTAATATATTACTGCTAAACGATGGTCGATGTTTGCAGTCCCACAGATTCCACGAAGGCCATGAGCTCAATTGGTGGCGCCCTACTGTACTCTGTTCCAAAATGCAAGAATTGAGAATTCGTCATTGATGGTGATTGAAGAACGGTTACGTCACATTACTGGTGAGGGTCATGCAGCGACATTGAACAACGGGCTATCCAATCGGCGATCATTTATAAATTCTCAATCTTTTAACCAACCTTTGCCTGTTGAGGGTCAAGATTTGCTGGCACACCCCATTGGTTTAAGTCTAAATCTTGATACAGGAATATCTGGTCGATTGTATTCGCTCTTGTATGTGGCATCATGTGGGGTCATCGTAAACTTTGGATCCGTACGTTTGTTAATCGAAAAAATAAACAATTATTCAAACCTAACTTACACTATCGTTAAATTACTTACCTGTTTATAAAGAGCGAATTTTGAATCAGAAGCGGAAACATGTTGCTCCTCTTGGTGAGTCTTAAAGTTAGAAGGAATATCAGCAAATGTTAAAGGATATTTGACTAGTAGAGATCAATACAAGCCGTATGTGTAAATGGCATGCATGTTAGAAGATTTTGAGGTGGATGAGTCAGCACGCATTAGCTAAAATGTATGTTTTTCAAATATTTATTCTCTAACTGGGATGATCGAGATTGATCATGGCATCACGATCTTGCTACAGTAGATTCTAGGAGGAACGGCTGGTCTCTGTCGTCCAAGTGACACGTATTTGCAGTCTGTGATTGCGCTGGCACATGTATAACGCAAAACTTGATGACGCGCACTGCGAACTATCCACATCCAACTATTATACGGTTGATTCTCGAACAGGGCATGTTTCAAGTAAACCAAGTTGCTCTGCCACCTCACCTTGTGACCGTTTGGGTAAGAGGAAGCAAACTGGATTATAGTATGCATGCATGTATGCTCGTAGAACTTGAGTCACAAACTTTCGTTACTACGAGCGTAATACAGACATTCTTACCGAGGTCTTAGAAATTGAGTGCGCGTGATGATTGTCGTTGTACATGTACAATCTGCCTTAGAACACCTGGCTCGCTGCCTTGCCCGCTCTCATCTGTTACATCGCATGCATGCTATTTGGTCCTGTATCCTGGTGGTGCAGAGGCAACCCGACTCGATGAACATGGCACTTCTCCTCTCTCCAAAGATCTGCTTGCTCCATCCCATCCCATGTTGTCCCAAGTTGGGTACCCAACTGTATTTGCTCGCTCGCTGCATTTGATGTCTGCTTACATATGCGGATCGTCCACTCAGGTAGGCAGCGTTGTTTTTGTCGCGAGTGGAGCAAGCTCGGTTCATCCTCACTATTCATTTTCCAGTGGTCTGAGCAATCCAGCAAACCAGTGAAGAATGCTAAGCTACAAGGAGTTTTTGAACGCTGCGGTGCTTCTCACCTTGGTCGGGATGCCCAGTGCAGCAGCCTCAACATCGGACCCTGCGTCGGCTAAGTACTCGGTGTCTGCTTACGCTGTTGGCGACTGGGGTCAAACTTTGGACATGAGCTCTTGCTGTGGAGGGACGTTCAACAACTACGACCGTCACGCCCAAGCCATTGTCGGTAAGTTAATGGATATCCAAGCCGGTACTGCCGTGAAGCCCAAGGCTGTCCTTGGACACGGTGACAGCTTCTACTGGACGGGTATCGACAGTCTCGAGAGCCGTGACTCGCGTTTCCAAACGACCTATGA